GATTTATATATATATATATATATATATATATTCACTATCTATCTATCTATATTATTGTTTATGCATATATTAAATATATAATAAAATATGAATAAACAATATGTAATAATCTAGAAATAATATTTTAATTATAATATATGTGTTCAAAATGCTCAGTTGTGGTGCAACTATTATATTTTTTTTAAATCCAGACTTTTATTTTAAAATAGTCCACTCTTATTTTGGAAAAAGTACAAGCGCATTTACAGTCTATGATTTCTTCACACTTCACTCACTGCTGTTAGCGTACAGTCAGCTGACTTCATACAAAGAGCAGTCTGCTTTCTGCAAAACTGATTCCCATTAAACACTAAATAGTAAATAAATCATGACTAAATACGAGGACGTTGCTGTTCACGGCTACGAGGAATTTTGTAAAGCTGTGTCTGAAAGAAAAGGAAAAGACATATTCGCTTACTTCTCTGGAGATAAAGATGACCAGGGCAAGAGCTGGTGTCCGGACTGTGTGAAAGGTATATTAACATTATAGAGTAGCTGTGCTGTTTCAAAAATTCTAAACTAGAAGAGTTTTTCCTTTTTTTGCTCATGCAGCACAGCCAGTGGTCAGAGGAGAGCTGTCTCATCTGCCGGAGGGATCTGTCTTCATTTACTGCCAAGTAGGAGATAGACCTTAGTAAGTTTACAAGACATTCTTCCAATTACATTGGTAAACAGAAATAATTAATGTATGTTGCAGCATATAGTATACAAGATAGTGCTTAGATTAAAGTTATAGTTCACTCAAAATTTAAATGAGCTGAAAATGTACTCCCTGTCATGCCATCCAAGATGTAGATGAGTTTGTTTCTTTATCAGAACAGATTTGGAAAAATTTAGCATGATGTCAGTAGCTCACCGGTGGATCCTTTGCAGTGAATGGGTGCCGTCAGAATGAGAGTCCAAACAGCTGATAAAAACCTCTACAAGTAATCGACACGACTCCAGTCTGTCAGTTAAAATCTTGCGAAGCGAAACCTGCTTGTTTATTAAGAAACTAATTCATCATTAAGATGTTTTTAAGTTCACACCATTGCTTCTTACTAAAATATGAGTCCTCTATCCATAATATTGCTTCCTCCTGTGAAAAAGTAATTCCCTTGAATCAGGAGAGAAATATGCACAGTTCAAGCAGCGAAAACAGTTATAAACAAATATGTCGGTGGATTTTTATGTGAGAGAACAAGAAGCATGGACTTTTTCACTGCATGATGGAGGAAGTGTTATTATAGATTGTCGCAGCTTTTTGCTTCACAAGATGTAAATTGATGGACTGGAGTGGTGTGGATTATTGTGATGTTTTCATCAGCTGTTTGGACTCTCATTCTGACGGCACCCATTCTGTGCAGAGGATCCATTGATGAGTAATTAATGTCATGCTGAATTTCTCTAAATCTGCTCTGATGATCAAACAAACTCATCCGGATTAGTTTTCATGTTTTAATTTTTGACTTGTTTGGTTTGGTTAAGGGTTAACATCTAATTGTTGTTCTTGCCAGCTGGAAGGACCCAAATAATGACTTTAAGAAGAATCTGAAGCTGAATGGAGTACCCACACTACTGCGCTATGGCACGGTAAAGAGCTGTAAAAGTTCTTTGATAAGTGAATTTAACACTTTAAATTTGTATGCATCTTGCAAATGTACTATGTTTGTCTGTTTTAAGCCCCAGAAGCTGGTTGAAGAGGAGTGTTTTAAAGCAGACCTGGTTCGAATGTTGTTCACAGAGGATTAATGTCCTGCGATGTACTGCTTGAAGACAACCACATTTTAAACATTCTCTTTGAATGACTGACACAGTTTTTCTACTTTTGTCATTTGTAATCTATGCTTCTGCCCTGCAATGTTCAGCAAAACAAATTGTGGCCTGGAATTATGTTGTGGTGATTGTACAAGTCTGGAAAGCATTTGTGCAAATAAAACTGTGTATACTGGAAGATTTCATTTGTAACATCATCAGACATTTCAAGCTTATTTTTTTAAGTGATATTCAAAAAAGGGACTTTACTACACTTTCAAGTCAACCTTGATAAAGGGATAGTTCACCCAAAAATTAAAATTCTATCATCAATTACTCACCCTCAAGTTGTTCCAAACCTGTATGAATTTCTTTCAGCTGTTGAACGCAAAATAAGATATTTTGAAGAATGTTTGTAACCAAACAGTTGACGGTAGCCATTGACTTCCATAGTAGGAAAAAATACTTATTTTGTGTTCAGCAGAAGAAAAAACTCATACAGATTTGGAACAAGTGGAGCACAATCTTCATTTTGAGTGAACTGAAGAACTGAATCAATTAAGATACAGTAAACATAAATGAAATTTGTTTTATAATCCTAGCCTATGGGATATGATTATGGCTGTTGCCATTTTGATTGTTTATATTCAGAACAAAATTAAAATGTTTTGAAAAATCTATCTGCAAATGTGTTTTGCATGTCTAACTGTGCGTTTTCAAGGAAATATGATGGGAAATTATTGTGCACCAAGCAGTTGTGGGTTTTTGTTTTTATTCCTAACTTCAGCTAGCCTATTATCAAGCAATACAGTCATAGGTGTTTATCATACAGAATCTGGTTGCAATTTTCCTGTGCACCATTTTTTTTTTTTGCTTAAAGTAGTGCAGTTTTTACCGTACCGTTCTTTTGCTTTTAGTGGTAATTGAAATGAACAGGGGATGCATGAGGTAATCACTGTAACTCAGACACCACTTTCTCCTTAAATGAAAGGAGTGAATACTTACCCAAAAACATGACATGTACTGATACTGTTACTCTGAGAATCCGTCGATACATTCATCTATACAAAAAAGACAAAAAGTATCATTTTATGCAGAGATAGAGACGTGGTGTGACTGATTCGCTTGACATCTCTGTGGACCGAGTACGCCGAGGTGCAATTGCACCATCTCGCCACTAGGTGTCGCGACAGTCTCGCAGCGGGAGTCGGCCGGCGCTGTTGCTGAGGGCCGCTCTATAACAGGAGCGCATTCCTCAACACCGCGCACAGTGGAGGCACACGACGGCCGCTGTCTCTCGAACCGCGGGACTGCCAAACTGGGCACCAGGGCCTGCGGATATCCATCGAGCACTTTGGGTTTACCTTAAAACCGCTCGAATAAGCCAAGAAAACCAAGCGCAGTCCGCTTCGAGGGCTCAGCAGCGATGTCGGAGTTTCTGGTGAATCTGCTCGGAGAGCGGCTCGTCAACGGAGAGAAAGCCGAGGTGGATGTTCACTCGCTGGGCAGCAAGCTGTCTCTGCTCGGGCTCTACTTCGGCTGCAGTTTAAACGGTCCCTGCAAGCAGTTCAACGCGAGTCTGTGCGAGTTTTACAGCAAGTTTAAAAAATCGTCGGAGCACAAGGACAAATTGGAAATCGTCTTCATCTCTTCGGATCAGGACCAGAAACAGTGGCAGGACTTCTTACAGGAGATGCAATGGCCGGCGTTGCCTTTTAAAGACAGACACAAAAAGGTAAGATGAGCCAGTAGATTTAATCGATGACATAAGACTACAAATGTATTAAATTATAGAATTGCTTTTTTTTTTTAAACAACAAATAGACTGAAAGTGTGTGCGTGTGTGCAGGTGTAAAAGATTAAAAAAAAAGCCTGATCTTCTGGTTTAAACCCTTTGACCTCTTATTTTCAGATGATAAATGACCAGTTTCATTACTTTATTCTTCTCAGTGGTTGGGAACTAATTAAACTAGCTTTTTTTAGTAGTATAAAACTGTAGTCTTGCTTTCAAAACTGGGATTTATTTTTTTTACCTAATGCAATTTTATCCATCACTCCTATTAATCTAGATATACATCTAAACGTTTTATCCAGTCGTTCTTGTAGCAAAAGAGACGTTTGAATTTTATGGATGGAAGGTGGAAAAAATCCTGGAATATTTTCATTATGAAATACATAAAGAAAAGCAGCCACATTTGAATTTTATAATATGACTCCGACCTAACAGTATATGAATTACCTGTAATCCCAGAAAATAATAAAGCGTTCGTTGTAGGCAGGTGTCTTTTTATTATAGCTGGAGGCTGTATGCTGCTGGGTGCTGTAAAGGTGAAAACACATCCTTTACAAACCACAATATACACATACTAACCCTAAACCATTACACAATGACTGTCTCAGTGACTGCCAACTTAAACATTTCTTTTCCCGTTTGCACTTGCATATACAGTCAAAAATGCAGACTAGTTTTTAGTTTTAGTTTAGGCACATCCAGTGTGAAAAGAAGTGCTGTTCAGGAAAACTCTAATTACAAAAATTACAGTCATTATTAATTACAGAACTAAACTATAAGCTATTACAGAAAATGGTAAAAACAATTAGTTGCTAAATGCATCTTTACAAGGTGAATAAAATAGCTTTTTTTGTATTTGTTAAAAATATATGCTCGGGTTGTACAATAACACAAATCGTTATAATATATCTAGATGATTTATTTCTGTTGTCTTATTATTTTTTTTAAATAAGGGTGTAGCAAAGAGTTTAAATGTTTTTGCTAAGACCTAAATGAACCTGTTTCTAAAGCATTTCATTATTGAAAGCACATTTGCTGTTCAGATTTGTAACAGGCCCGTTTTATGTCATTTATTAAAACAAATCTGGAAATTATTACTGCATCTCGGAGTACTTTTAATTGAGTTATCCTCTTGCTTATTCAAATGAGATCCTGTGGTTGTAAATAATTCAGCTTTGGTATACAAATGATGTGAAATAACCTTTATTAAATTTGGATTACCATCAGAAACGTTAATTAATTTATCATGATTGTCATTCTAAACATAAACTCTTCTTTGCATAATTTGCTTTGTAAATAATGTTGTGTGTTACTGTGTATGTGCTTACCGCTGTATCGTTAGGTTGATATTGTAGTGCAGTATTTTATCTTGGGTTTGAGTTTTTGTTTTAATGTATAATACCATTTGGATCATGCTCAGATTTGCCCCTGTGTGCTGGTATCCATTTTGGTCCACTGCACCAGCTCCTCCTCCTGCAGCATGCCTTGGCACGTCTCACTGAGCAAATGATGTGCGTTTAAAAGCTCATACCGGTTTACAGTGGCATCGGTGGCAGCCATATAAATATTTCAGATAAAATCTGCCACCATGCAAAATGCTGATTGTACTGCATGCAGTGTTTTAATAATACACACTGGGAAATGCTGTGTGTGGTGAGAAGAGAATATTGTGTGTGTGTGTGTGTGTGTGTGTTTTAAGGAAGGATAATTCAATTTAGATTCCTGTTTTTGGTGTTGTGTAGCTGTTAAGTAAAAATGGATCTATTAATTTACTATTTAGATACCATTATATGTTATAGGCCTATAGGCCTTTTTTTTTTATGTACTGACATGTTGTGCAACCTATGCAGACGGTATTTTCTTAAGCTTTGAATCTTGTTTTTTTGTTTGTTTTTGGCATATTAGGTCTTTTATTGAATGTTTTCCCTTGTGTTTTAAGGTTGCAAATGTTGTAAACAAATATGCCACAGATGAAAAAAAAAAAAAAAAAAACTAAGTAAAACCAACTCAAACTAAGTCCAGCTACAGATATGTCCACATCTCTGCTCTAAATTATGATCTCATGTCAGTATTTTTAATTTTTTTTTACACTCTCCTCTCAAATCTAAAATTTCTTTGTTTTTGGGTCCTTTATGTTAAATTGCTTGTTTTTCTACATTTTTAAGTCCGTATAAAAGCATCTAATCAAAGAATCAGTATATTATAAATGTCATTTTCTTCTTTGTATGGAAAATAATTATTAATTAATTAATATTGTAATATTAAAAGAATAATTGCTATGCGTGTATATGTGTGTGTGTATATATATATATATATATATATATATAT